CACACACCGAGGTCAACACAAACACACACAGACAAACACATGCATATGCAGAAAAAGGTAATTAGAAAAAGGAAGTTAAGGTAAATTACTGGTTCTGGTTGAAGGTTAGGTTTGTTTACCATCATCCTCCAAAGTGCACACACACACACACACACACACACACACACACACACACGTACCTTCCCTAGCGTGACCGTTTCACACATGAGGACTTCGTTGTTGGTTGCAAACTCTGGGGAGTTGTCATTCACATCTTTCACCTTGATGTTAACACGCACTTTTGTGTCTTGGTGGTGGCCTCCTTTAAACACACACAGACACACAAACAGAGTTTATAAGTCAAAATCATCAGAATTCAGCTGTTTATGAAAATACAAAGAAGTGTCAGAGGATGTCATTGGTTCCTGAATGTGCGATGCCTGATTGCTTGTTTTTCTACTAATCCACGTTTGGCGCCGGCCGAACAACAAGCTGACTGAATATTTTCCAGCGAGATTGCCTGTCAATCACTCTGCCTCTCAGACAGCCGCGTGTCCTCTTTTTTATTTGCAAAATTACAGACATGAGTTTGAGAGACGTCAGGATTTTGCAGTCAGACAGTCTGCCACTGTTTTTAATGTGCAAGGGTAACAAACGTTCCGCCCGTTGCGCCCTCAGAGTTACGCCTGCTGCAGACTCAAATGAAATAAGACTGAAAGAGAGCAGAGTATTTTTCTATCTGTCCATTGGTCTAAAAAAAAAGAAGAAGAATTACACTCTCCGCTCTTCTTCGTTGCATATTTGCAATTCTATTCAGTATGATTTTTCCACTACCCTGTCATTACTAGGCATTTATTTAGCTTCCCAGGGCCTGTCGGCGGTTAGCATAGCCTGCAATGGTCCTAGCTTTGTGGGCGGCAAGCCCGATTCCATCTGGCCGTCTGGCGTCGAGCACGCCACAAGGAAACCACGCGGCGCTCTGCTAGTTTGAGCCCCGACCACAGAATACCAGGGTGGGGCCACTGTGGCTCGCTGGCTGCAGGGTTTGTGGGGCTGGAGCCGGGGGAAAGAACGCTCCAGTGGGACTCTGGGTCAACTGGCATTCCCCTCTTTTATCCCCCCTCTCTGGGTGTATAGTTAGCAGGAGTGTTTGTGGTGGTGATGGGCAGCGAAACGTTCCAGTGGAGCCTCAACTGTAGTTTTTCGCGACATCAAGGGCTTTTTTGTTTTACAGAGCATCCTGAGTCGCTGAGTAATAAACTGTTTAATTAAAGTGAACAGTCTAATAAAGTTGAACTGTTAGTGGTGTCTCAACAGCTGGTTGCACTTTTCAGTTTCTTTCATTTCGTCTGATTTTCTCTCTGGCTGCTTCTTTTTTGAGCATCTAATACCTAAAACTTTTAAACCAAAATTAGCAGGTAGACATGCGTAAATCTCAAAAAAAGCTATCGACTTTGCCCTTTTTTCCACCGATGCGTCATGTTCGACGTCATGAACGCAGCAAAGACTGAGACGCTGTCTTGCCAAATGTGTGCGTTCACATTTCGACCACTGCCGATCGAAGCCCATAAATATCTACTGCAGAGTCAATGAACAGGGAGTGAATGCAGATCTGGACTTTTTTAACAGTGTAAAAAGAGCTTATGTAACAAAACTCGCTGTAAAGTCTATTAAATATTTGGTGTCGCAGATTTTGCTTGAATCTACTCTGGGATAACTTGCATCTTTTCAAACATAAGAAGCCACTGGGACAACCGCACATGATTGCAATATATTAATGTGCCGACCAGATACTGAACACTAATTCCGAGCAAGAAAAATCCAACCAATAAGTATTTACTGTAGAGCAAACTCCACAGAGCCAATCCCTCGTGACTTAAGCTGAATAAATCATTAGTTTACCAGGACTCGCACAGCTCTTCACTGACATTCATATAAAAAATGCTAACTTCCGTCTCACCCTGGAGGACGAGAGAGCGGCTTGAATCAACTTAAAGTCGATGCACAATATGTCGTGGAGTTTATCCAGTGCTGCAGAATTACAGGTTCCTGCTCTGGATGCCAACAAATGTACAGCCTGGTGCCTGTGTGGGAATTTTCCATCTGTTTGTATCATCTTAGAGTTTCTCTCACCATCCCACTGCAGTATATCTACTGGAGAACGATTCAGCTGCACAAACCACACAACAGCCACGATCAGATACAGGGGGACAGTGGCTCTTTAACCAGTCGCTCTCCTGGAATGACTGGAACGTCAGTTAATTAGTGCAGACGGCCTCATAGCCACCGTCTCACTTTACATTCCTCTGCATTTGGTTTGAGTTTTACTTTGTACCTTGATGCTGGTTAGAAGTATGTGTCCATGTTTGTCGCTTGTATTTGAGACAAAGAAAGAATTAGGGACAGACCCACGTCCCCACACACATTCAGTCCCAATTATGCATAACGCAAACTCTACAAGTGTCTCGCTGTTACAGTTTTTATCGTGGATCGATTTTGAAAAGTCTGACAACGATCTCCTGCACACGGCCCCTAATCAGCTGTATGGTCCCTTTTCAAAGTTTTAAACTCGTTCTAGATTTGTTTGTGTGTCTGCGTTTGTGGGTTTGCACTCGTACCTATCTCCGTTGCAGACACAGATATGTTATGCCAGGCCTGTGCTTCTCTGTCCAGCGGTCTCTGTGTGGTAATCCTGCCGTCTTCTGTGTTTACGGTGAAGAACTGCTCAACGTCTGTGTACCGAGGGATCATGTACCTACACAGAGAATGAACACATGATACAGAATTACTCATGGTTGTCCTGTAGAAGATACACGATGTATTTGAAAATGGAGGAAAGTGAGCCGTTAATTTCAATCTTTTCGAGAGTCTCGTGTTAAACTCTGTTGAAAGACCCAGTGAATGTTTTTTATTAAAATGCGTCTGGCTGTGCCTTTGTATTCTTATTTTACATCCCCAGCTTTTTGCGAATGTCTTTATGTGTAATCTGTGTTTCTGCATAAAAACTATGAGTGTAAAGCCGAGCTTCTCCCTGACTCATGTTGTTTGTTCAGTGTAGCTGAAGGAATACTACTTAGCAGTTATTGTTTTGGCAGTGTTCCATGAGACTTTACACAAGTGTGTGTCTGTGTGTGTGTGTTTGTGTGTGTTGTACCTGACAGGATTGTTGGCAACGTCAGTATCTTTGGCGTGGACTCGCCCCACCACGGTGCCTTCAGGCGCATTCTCTTCCACCTCAAAAGTGTAACTGGGAGCTACAAACACAGGAGGCTCATCTGCATCCTCCACTGATATCTACAAACACAAACATGCAGAATTGTTAAAACACCTTGTGATGTTTGTGTAGACGTACAAGCTTCTCATTATGCCATCGTTAATGCACATTTGCATCGTCTTGCACCTGCACTCTTCTTTTCACATGAAACATGTGCACATATCACCACACACACAAACACGTACCTTTATCGTTGCTTCATCCTTATAAGGCCCCCAAGCGAGGTATTGAGGGTCAATATATGAGTTGGATCCCTCCACCTTCAACGTGTACAACCTTTTAGTTTCAAAGTCCACCATCTAAAAGAGAGAGAGAGGGGGAGGGGGGGGGGTACGAGTCAGTACAATCAACATCCCAGTTTTATCAAATATTAACTCTCAACACACACAATGGGATATTGTCTTTTTGCTGTGAATGCGAGGGCTGAGGAAAATTGCAGCTTATTTCATCCACTGCAGAGGTTGTGCGTGACCGGTGCTGTATCCCTGTCTTCTGCTAGGGGGAGCTGTGGCCACATGAATGAAAACACGGGTATCATCAGCCGTGTTCAGCAGTCTGACTATCACTACTATTACCAACCAACACAACCTGGAGGAGCACTGACGATGATATGATATAGAATATGTGATATAGTTTAAAATGCATGACTTGGTTTGGTTTCTTTAGGGCTTTTTTTTCATCATCGGGTGCAAACAGCCCTGACTGAGTCTGTAGCAGGTTGTGGGACATGACGTGATGAAAGTAGTGGTGAGAGCTTTCGGTCGCAAGGTCGTGTCATTTAAATTCCAGAAGGTAAGAACAACAGCCTGCTGGCAGTTGTATTATTTATGGTTTTTAATTTATTACAAACTCCTCTATGGATTTAAGATTCATATATCGAGCCCAGCCATTCACTTCCTCTCCAGTAAAGTGGGAGGAAACCCATTGACTTCCATTGGCCTTGATATTGAATTGACTTGACCATTTGCTTTGAAGTGCGCCGTTCGATGCCAAACCCGAAAAATGTCGCTCGTTTCCATCTTTATCGTGTTTCCATTCCGTCCCTCAGCAATTACAAAGTGATGACCCTCAGCCACATCGTCTGCTTGGTGGCTCGTGTCTTATGAATGTTCCTCTTTCTCTTCGTTTCTTTTCTAATGCACCGAGTGAGGGGAAACTTTAAAGTCAACAAAGGTATTGGCAGTCGTTGCAGAACAGCTGTAATACCCGGGAGATGGTCTCCGCTGTGACTCGTGCTTGCTGACAGCACCTGGCAGCGACTCATCGGCCACGCCGTCGAAGCCATAATCACCGTATATAACTCTCGTTTGGGTATAATTGCTGTATTATTAACCCAGATAATAACCACTTTCCCCCACCACTATTTTTCCAGCTGGTACAGGGGCGTTGAACTGGCATAATCCCAGGAGCAAGCTTAATCTTTTCATCTCCGGGCTACCATCACTTAATGAAATCCCAGTGGGAGGAGAGACGACTCATGTGTGAAGTGTTATAAAAGCAGAATGAAGCTATACTCCAGATTTATGAGGTTGACACACAAGATTTACCAGGGATTCCCAGTGATTAAGATAGTCACAGAGACTACCCGTTCCATATATTAAGTACCTGGTGCCGCTGTACGACTAAGTTTCATATCTTAAGAAGGTCTTTGCGTTAATCGCAGGTGGGCAACCTTGTTTTTTTATCTAAAAAAGGATCTAATTCAAGGTGTTGGCCAGATTATTATGTCATAGTTTCCTTTCCCCGTATGCCAGTATCCATCATCTGCAGGTGATGCCTCTGACAGCAGCCCGCACTCGCTCTTTAATCTGATTCAGAGCTCTTTTCAGTCAAATGACTTAATACCAGAGTGACGTTCCCTCTCTCGACGGGTTGTTGCACTCTCTTTCAGTCACGGCAGACTCGCTGGTGTAGGTGCATTTCTCGATGACAGGTACGATGCTAATAGAATAGATGTGACCCAGTTCTTTCATTTTCCTTTTTGCGTTACACTGCCTCTGTCTCCGGGTCTCTCTCCGTCTCCTTTGCCCTCTCTCTCTCTCCCTCTCTCTCTTTCTCCCTGACACACACACATGCACACACACACACTCTGTCTCTCATACACACATTCACACAGCGCTCCTTAATATTCTGTGGACTGCTTTCGTCAGGACACAGTTGAAAGAGAATAGCTGATTAAAGCTCATCCTTGTGTGTGTGTGTGTGTGTGTGTGTGTGTGTGTGTGTGTGTGAGGAACATTGAGAGAATAGACATTAGCGAAGGCTACTCCCCATGCTAATTTTAAAGTGTGTTTAGGTGTGCAAGTGTGTGTGAGTCCCTGTGTATGTGCCTTGTGTGTGTTTGGCTTTGGCGAGGCACTGCAGCCTTCAGGGTGCAAAAGGTGTTGATTTCCCCAGAGAGGCATTAAGACACAATGATTACACACACACACACACACACACACACACACACACACACACACACATGCAACAGTCAGACTGAGTGGAACAAAAATGGGGATTCACTGTGTGTGTGTGTGTGTGTGTGTGTGTGTGTAGTGTTTTGAAATCAGCTTCTAATTATTCGTCCTTCCGCCTTCACACTGCAATTTAAACATGTTTATTTCAATTAAAGTTGTTTTAATTTGAAAATCTAAGTGGTCTTCAAACCTCAAGTTAATGAAACTAGTACTTGATTGTTGATTGAGTTTGTGGAGCTGAATTATTTGCAAATTACAAGACTTCCACTCGTGACTCTATCAATTTATATATTTTATAACTACACTCAAACAATTCATTTGAGTTAATGATAAAAGATTAAGTGATTTTCATGAAACTAAAAGTTTTACAGTTCAACTTTAACCATTCTACCAGAAACACTAAAGTGGAACTGGCTGTCAGCTTCTATACGTGACTCCCCTCTGATGTATGCGTGCAAGTGTGTGTCTGTGCACCAGACTGTTTTTACAATGAGGTCACAGTCCTGGCTAGTTTTACCTCTATTGAGTTAAAACACAAGGATTTAACAACCACAGTTTTCTGCCTTTGACTGGAGGAAAAACTCTCACACACACACACACACACACACACACACACACACACACACACACAGACACATAAACACATCCTGTATAACTGGTCTGTCTTGTCCTGCTCATCAGTACATTTAATCAAACTTCCACTTCTTCACATTTTAACTGTTCCCATGTGGTTTTGCACTGGACATGGAAGACAGAGGTAGAGGAGGGTAACTTGTGTTTCAGTTCTTCCTCCTCCGCTGAACAGTCATATAGTTTTCTATTGTTGCTAAATCTCTCGATTAAGTGCCTTGCTCAATGGCTCTTAAAGTTTTTAAGGCTTCTCTGCTCAGTCCCAGTGAAACCAGTGAGGAAGAGAGCCCCTAACCCTGCCAGTCTTAACGCCATCCTCCAGCTCCAAAGCCTCATGAGTGAGAGAAAAGCATGAGATGGTATTGATGGAGTCAGACAGAGATTTTCCCACCACATCTTCGTCTCCATGTTAAGGCCGACTGCCGACGTCATTACCTCTGGACAGGAAATGCAACTTGCCAGATATGCCACCATACTTTTAAATTACACACTTGGACATGGTTTTAAATCTGAGGGACCAAGTTATCACCTCTGTGTGATCGCGTGAGTTGAGTTTAATCACTTACGAACTCAAAAGAAGAAAAAACAGTCTTCTCTTAAGATGTTTGTGTTTATTTCATTCTTATTTTTTTTTAACTCCCACGCCTTGATGGCTCGGTTTGAAATGAAATATTTTTTTTAACTGAGAGAGGTCGGACGCCCCGGGAGCAAAAGACAGGCAACCACAGCTCACTGAAAGATTCAGTGCATAATCCTGACCTGCAGCCGCACATACAACATCGTGTGTGTGTTTGAGACAGAGGGACTGACTGACGAGTGTGTGTGCGTGCAATAGAGAGACACGGAGGGCGAGAAAAAGTAATTGTGTGTGCTGAGCTGGATCACTGAAAGCTGTGGTTATAGAGTGTGTGTGTTTGTGTTTGTGTGTGTGTGAGTCACAGTGCAGAAGATGAGCTCTCTGGCCTAAGGAAGCCTGGAAGTTAATGCACTCTCACTCTCACATGAAAGTCGGTGTTCATATCCAACACAATGAGGAACCGTGAGGGTCGTCAGCGGAGGGAACGCGGCAAAACCCCCCCGCTGCTCCTTCCCTCTCCCCTTACTGCTGCACGTCTTACTTTCTGGACACAGACATAAATCTGGGCTGGCAGAGACTCACACTAAACTGCTTTGTGCGTCGAAAAAGTGCCGTCTCAACTACATTTGTGTGCTGGCAAACTGAGAACGGGTGATGACGCACACATAGTTTCCGTAAGAGCTAGCTAGTAGAAGCAGCCACTATCAGTGAACACTTATTCTGACCAATGTTCTTTGCCACAAACTGACACAACTAATTCAATGTTCTCTGTCCTGATTTTTTTTCTGACCAGAGGAACAGCAACCACTGACACTGTCTCCCGTTCCATTGTGAATCTTGTTTTCATCATATTTTAGTGATACACAATATCTACTGGTCAAGAGAGGTGCTATTATAAAACAATTTACAACAAGAAGAGCATAGCTCATGAAATCAAACACAATTGTAAAATCATGAATCAAAACACAGGCATCTTTACTTTTTCGGACATAATATTAATGGTTTGAGGGGGGGTTCAAGAAACAGTGATTTTTAAATCAGAAGCTAGTTGGACTTCATGGGTAGTTGGTGTTTTGAAGATCCTGCTGTCGACGAACATTATGATCAGACGCATGATCTTGATGCTAATGAACAACTTGTGTAAAAGATACTGTGTCCTTCATAAGCATTTTCAGACTCCACGTTTTTGTTTACGGCACTTTGACATCAACCAAAGCTCTTGAAATCTCTTTGCTTTTCCAATGTAACATCTTCTTTGGCATCTTCTGCATGTGTAGCTCCTCTTTTTCATCCTGAGATATTTTTATTCTTTTAGTTTTATCACAGTTTTGTGTTTGTCGCATCATCAATGCGCCTATTCGCTCATTCGGCTCACATGGGCTCACTCGGACATCGTCGTGTGCTCTTCCTCAGGGCCTGGCAGGAAAACTCCGGAGAATGACATAGACATTTGCTTTCTCACATACAGCCCCTCCAGAGAAACTCAGGAGAGTATCCAGAGTTCAGTGCATTTCTGAGAACAGCTATATCGAAGATGAAACCCTGATGAAGCATCTGATTCTGCAGCAACTCTTGGCCTAACAGAGCCTTTTAGTGAGTTACAGCTCATTGTTTAGCTTCTGGTCCACAACTGTGCTGTTTTGGTTCATTCATGACAGCAATGTTTTTAGCTGCAGCTGAATCCAGACCTACTTTCTGCAAAATCCCACTACCTGCACAACAAATAGTAGCTAGACATAGTTTTCAAGGAGCTGAACTTGGTGTTAACATAGTGTAGCATTTCATTTACATGCTAAATAGTCGGATATTTCCTCAGGAGCTAAACGGAGAGTGAATATTGGACTTAATATTCTGAATTGTGAGTCCAAATGAATGCTAATGTGCTCTGTTCCTGTTGGATGTGTAAATAAGAAACTGTGTGTGAACATGTTTGTCATATTAACTTGTCGGGGTGGACCACGATAGAAAAACAAAATGTAGAGTAGCTTTCTTACCTTCTTCAGTTTAATAACAGCCTCTCTGGTCTCGGAGTCAGTGGTCAGTTCGAACATGCTCATTCCATCTCCGTCTATCAAGCGGTAGTTCACCATTCCGTTGTCTCCGAGGTCGGGGTCGTTCGCCTTTATCCGACCCACCTCCTCTCCGGGGACTTTGTCCTCCAACACGGACATGGGATACACACCTGGGAGGAGGAATAAAGGCAGAGCGTTTACCGGGCTGTGGTTGGCTGGTTGGTGATGTTGCTTTGGTATTCAATGCTCCTCAGACAGTCTTTGGAGAATCGCTGGCTGGCTGCCACCGTGTTTACTGTCTGAGGCAGGGTCAGTTTTTGGAGGGCAGAGCAGGATTAACATGAACTATACCATCTGTCTTATATGGCCCAAAGGATATTAATATCCCCTTTAGTGTCAGGTGTGTGTGTCTGAGGGAGTCGACACCTGGCTTGCAGAATGAAAACGGTAAGACCATATGTCGTCTCTTTCTCCTTCTATCCCTCTCTCCTCCACGCATCATCTCACTCCTCATCCTCGAACCTTTTCTCCACGCGCGTCTTCATTTCTCTTCCATCTCTGCTCAATTGATCCTAAATCCTCCTCTTTCCTCTGTCCATCATCCTATTTCTACTCTTTTCCCCCAAATCTGTCAGTTCTCATCAATCCTTCCCCAATCCCTCCTTCCTCTGCCGTCACCTCATCCTATGATGATTCAGATATCGAGCACACGAGAGCTCATCATTTTATGTGGTCTACGCCATTAGCATGTTTATCCTGCTTGTCCACGTGTGTCAATCCCGTGAATCATGAAATTGATTCTGTCACGTGTTTTCCGGAGCAAGTGGAAGCGGAGAGTGATTCACGGGACTTGATCCATCCAGCCCAAATCCTGCTGCCACCCTGCAGCCCTCTACTGCTTTTTTTTTCTCCATTGATCCTCACAGAATCCCTCCTCTCCATCTTCCCTCTTCATCTCTGTCTGCGCTCCTCTCCTTATTCCTGCCTCACATCCTTCCCATCTTCCTCCTCTGTCATTTGCTTCTCCCCTTTCCACTCCATCCTTCCAAATCCCCCCATTCATCCTCACCTCTCCTCCCCAGGTCCGCCCCAATTTCTCTCACGCCTGTCTCCTCAGCTCGTCTTTGTCCTCCCCCCACTCTCTCTCTCACGTCTGCCTTTTTCAGGCTAAAAGCTCATTTCATCCTTGCCCTCGCTTTGCCCGTTTTCCTGCATCTCTTCTCCTGTCGTTCTATTCTGTCTTTTTTACTAAGTAGCTTAACTCAAATGGCTCCTGGCAGCTGAGTTAAACGTTGTATGACAGAACACACAGGCGGCCTGGCGTACCTGGCTTTGAGCTGAAATGTGCATTTACATTGAAGGACCTCGGTGGAGGCAAAATAAAATAAATTGTCTTTAACTTTTCAGTGATTATGAGAAAGTTCATGAGTTGCTTTCTGTGCACGCCTCATGAATGGTGGCGCTATTGCAAAGTTTAAGTGTTTCAGACAGAGGCTGAAAAGAGGAGCTGCAGGAATGAACATATGAGGAAATTACCACAATCTCTCCACTAACTGGAGGGAATTACAGAAACTGGAACAATAATACTGCTTAATTAACCGCTGCTCATACTCGCAACTTTATTGTGTTTGCATATAGACGATACTGAAGAAGCTTTTAATGTTGGATGTGGTGATGATTTAAAGCTAACTGGGGAGATGTGCGTTCGTGGAGCTAATATAATGATGATGCGTGTTAATCACACTGTGGTGGGCGTGGACTTTGTGGTTAGCAGCACTAAACTCATTACTCAAATGAACCTCTGCCAAAACTTGAATTCACACAGACACACACATCCTGCTCTACGAGGACATTTGGTAGCAGTTGGTAGTTATAGCTGCAGGAGGCGGACCTGTTCACAGACGTGCTGACTTTGCACAAAGTATAATTTAAGTTTTTCTCAGTTTCACCAAATATACCACACAAACTTGACAATGTTGGAAAATGGATAAAACATCCAACCATGGTTTTTTGTTGATTGGTGCCGATTTGCATTTTTTTTTTAGGATTTCAAAGATTTTCGATGTAGAAATGAAAGATTCTTGATAATGAGGTGAAAGGGAGAAAAGTACGAGGACAGAGAGTCTGTGTCAAACAGAGATGGAAAGATCAAGCCGAGGACTGAAAGTAAAAAAATACCACAGCATGAATGGAAGCAGAAAAGCTGCTGGAACAAGGAGAGGGAGTCACGCTGTGCCATATATCCTTTTCTGTCTGTTTTTATCTCTCATTGTTTTTCTCTCTCTCCCTTTGAATCTGTTTTATTTCCGTCTTTTCTCTGCCTCTTGCTTTGACTCTGTTTTTCTTCCTTGACTTGCTTATCTCATATCCAATTTTTTTTCTCCTCGCTCCCGGCTCTCACTTACTCTGCCCAGCTACTAAATAAGTAATCACTGTCCTCATTCACACCATCTGGGATATGTTTCGTGTACTGCCTCTACTGCCGCTACGTGTTTTTGTTTGCAACAAGAGCACACGCTATCACAGCAGATTGCTATTTGGTGTGTTGTCTTGTATCGCAGATGTAAACTGCCTGTGATCCTCGGACGACATTCAGAAATAATGCACGGAGGTACTTTGTTAACATATGCTGTCTGATGATGCTTGGTTAGAAAATCGGATTTCTGCCGATGTGATCTTATTTAAAAATGTTCTCTATCCACTTTGGATATGGAAACAGAAATACGTTCTTCATTACTACCTCTGCCAAGGACGGTGTGTTTTGATCGGCATTGTCTGCGTAAATCGGTCTTGAGGAGAGTATTGAATTTGAAAATGGAAATATTTTGTCTTTTATTAATTTCAGATAATTACCAAGATTAACATTTTGATCAAAAGCATCAGAGAAATACGATAAAGGTTAAAAAAATTGGAACACATTTTATTTAATTGAGTTAAATAACCCTGTAGTTCTGGCATTTTCCTTGGAGGACTGATATTTAAGAGCAATGTTGAAACTTCCGGAGAGAAAGTCGTATTTCCGTCTGAGCCCGTTGTTCATGACACCCTTTCTAATTTCCCTCTAAATGCTGCCTGTTAGTTGTCGCCTGTAAAATAAGATTTCAGCTTTACTCTGCGAGACGTTAAAACACAGTCGGCTTGTTGGAGAACACGGGAAGTGGAGAGATCGTTTTGACAGGCTCTTTCTCTCTCCCTGCGTCTCCTTGTCTTTTATATTCTCTCCCTCACTGCTTCTGCTCATGTCCCTCTCTTTTCTCGCCTGTTCAGCTTCTCCACAGGCTAAATCCTGAGCCCTCGTCTCTTCCTTTCTCCAGCCCCCTCCCTTCCTCCTTGCTTCTTCTCTTCATCCATTCCTGCAGCTTCTCTGCTGAATCTCTGCCAGGAGTACCTCTGCTCAGAGCTACACGAGGGGGAGAAGGAGGAGGAACGAGGGCCAGGAAGAATCTTAAGCGAGAAAGCCAGGGTGAAAGAAAAGAGAGCCGGATTGAGAGAAAGGGTTTTCAGGCATAGAGGTGGACTGGAGAAAATACTGTGGTGCAAATATCTGCCTGCCACAGTTACTTCTCTGGTTCCATGCTAACTTAGACACATGTCCTCTGGGTTACATGCACACACACACACACACACACACAGAATCATGCACATGTATGTTTGTGTATAGACAACAAGGTGACGCACCAGAGTTATTATTGATGCATAGACAGTAGGTGTGTGTACTCACTCTGTGGGAACTTCGGCGGGTTGTCGTTAACGTCCGTGAGGGTGATTTTGACCTCGGTGGTCCCCGACAGGCCGCCCATGTGACCGCCCATGTCTTTGGCCTGGATAACGACGTCGTACTCCTGCCGTGCCTCGCGGTCCATGTTGGGCAAGGCAGTACGAATTATACCTGAATGGACGGATTCAAAATATCAAATTAACTCTCACTTAACATTTGCTGCCTTTTTCTATTTGTATGGATGTAGCGTTTGCAAGTTCACACACCGTGTACCTCTATCAAAATGTTTCAGAATATTATCTGTGTTTAAATTAATAACTTCAAAAAGTCTCGCTTGACAAAACAGAACAAGTTAGTGTGATTTACCTTCCTGAGAGATGGTGTCATTTCTTCAAAAGATAAAATATCATCGCTCATCAGAACTTTAGTTAAACATGTGTGAAGTCTGATTTTTCTGCATTTCAAGCCCCGGTAATTTTTTCTTTCTGTTTAATTCATCAAGCGCCGCTGCCTCTCTCTTTCCATCCCTCTCTTTCTCCAGATGTCGAGCTGCAGTGTTGTTGAGTTGAGGCTTTCTACCCGTCATATTATACCGTGTGTGTGTGTGTGTGTGTGTGTGACAGCAGGAAAAGCTGGTAATCTCCAAACCAATTAGAAATGTGAGCTATGGATTTGAGCCAGTCAAATACCCAACACTGGTTTGATTAGCCAGATTTACTCTGCACAAATCTCTCTCGCTCTCTCATGCACTAACTCCTGTCTTTCCATGAACTTGCTCCGTCTAAACAGATCCCCCCTCTCTCCTTCTCCTCCCTAACCTCCCTGTTTCTCTTCTTCTTCACTCCGTCTGACCCGGTATGGCTCCGTGTCTGCCCTAACCTCCCTCCTGACATCCAATTTCTTCTTTTAATGCAAACCCAAATATTAGGCCTGGACTCTGGGGACCTCTTCTTTTGCAGCAGTGCCTCCTTTCCCCCACCAATTTCAGAGAAGAGGACGTGCTGTTACCTGATCCCTGCAGCAATGAGAACCTATATTGAGAATATATTGTATATTGCAGAAACATTTTCACTTCGGTCTTACTAACAAGTCGTTTCCACTGGTTGCCTCATAGACATGGAAGTTAAAGCAACACTATGTCACTTCAGCCATGAAAAAACCAAGTTTACATGGAACAGAGCGTAAATTGATAGATTGATTATGGTTTAAACCATTATTCCGCCTTTTTTAAAACTCCAAACTGAAATAGTTCATGTACCGCCGACCCTCTCTGGTGTTTTTGTTCTGAATTTGTAAAAGCTACAACTTTTGCTGTTTACATGTCAGTGTCTTATTCAGACTTTTGGTTTATTCAGGTTGATATTGGATCCTTTTAAACAGTCAATTTGTTGAGTGAAGCTCTGACTGCGTAGTCCTACTCATTATTCATTAATATTCATTACATGGATATTACCGTTGATCCCCAGCTTTCTCAACCAGAAGAGCTGTAACAAATCCACACAGCCAGCTCTGTTAAGAATTCCTCATATTTTTAAAGTTTCCTCCTGAGTATTGGAGAGAAACTCTGGTATTTAATGATTTCTCCGTCTTTTTAACAGATCTACAGTTCGGCTTTACTCTTCAACTTGCTGGACCTGATTGTGATCCATCAGTCAGCTCCACACTTCTCACAGGAGATTGTATGTTCAGGGTGAGGAGTAACTCATTCTGAAGTTGCATAATGTTGCTTCAAGTCGTGTGCATACATATTTTATACCGATGACGTTACAATATTTAGTAGTGATACCATGTTTAGTCGAACTTGCTGCATGTGACTATATAGTGCGTGTTTGCAGGATGTTCAGTGAGCAGGTGCCAGACTAATCCTATAAGCCTGTCTGTGTTTCTGTGTCTGTGCAACAAACTACATCAAGAGTTATAAGCCTGTAGATGGTTGCAGACTATTTCCATCCTCACCTGTCTGAGGCTCCACGGAGAAATACGGTTGTCCTTGCAGGATGCTGTACACCAGCCGGGCGCTGTTGCCGTAGGTGGGGTCATCGGCATCTGTAGCTGTCACCTGCATCACTGAGGTACCTATAGAACAGACATGACAGACGAGTCAGGAGATAACTCTACTCTCAGTGATTCGGTTCAAGAACAGTTTGACAAACAAGCTTGTCATGGAGAGTGTGTCGATTCACCTGCAGAGGAGAGAGGGGAATAAAAAACACTGTCCCTTCCCTCGCTGCTCCCGTGAGGCAGGTCCACACTATCATTTCTCCACATTTCATCATTGTTGGTTGGGAGCACTCACTCTACAATATCAGCCATAGTTTTGTTGAGTGTTTTAAATGCTTTATATTCCCTCTATGCATTGGCATTTCTACAGCCCCTGGTTTTTATAGAACTCCATCAAAACCCTCTGGATAATCTGAAATGTTTGTAGAGCTCAAAAACAAGGTAGTTCATTTTAGCCCCCCCCCACCTCCCAACAGAAAAATGACACTTTGAAGATGCGGTGGTTTCATACGACAACAGCAATTTACTCGGAGTGAGTTTCGCTTAACTGAAGTTGACACAGTGAAGCCGAGCAAATAGACCCAATGAAATTAAAATTTGCAGGAGTGTGAAATGCATTTCATTAACATTGCATAATTGTTGAAATTACCGTTTTCAGATGTGACACAACTAATAAAAGTCACACAGAAACTCGCCTCTCTGCAGCGTGGGTCATTTCAGACCACTTCTACAATATGCATCTCTACATGTCGCTGCCAGAGGTGTTCTCCTCTTGAGAGCGTGTCCAAGTGCCCTTGAGCAAAACACTGACCCTCTAACTGCTCCTGGTTCTGTGTGTGTGATTGGCTGAATGAGACATACGTTGCAAAGAGCAGTGAGAAACACACTATATACATGTGGTCCATTTACCATCTTTCCTGCTCTTTCTTTCTCCAGATGTCGAGCTGCACTGTCGGGGAGTTGAGGCTTTCCACTGTCATATTATGCCAGGCGTGTGTGTGTGTGTGTCTCTCTGTGTGTGTGTGTGTGTGTGTGTGTSTCTSTGTGTGTGTGTGTGTGTGTGACAGCAGGAAAAGCTGGTAAGCTCCAAACCAATTAGAAATGTGAGCTATGGATTTGAGCCAGTCAAATACCCAACACTGGTTTGATTAGCCAGATTTACTCTGCCCAAATCTCTCTCCCTCTCCATGCACGAACTTCTCTCTTTCCATCAACTTGCTCCGTCTAAAAATATCCCTCTCTCCGTCTCTACCCTAAATTGTAGTTCAGCCTCTGTCGTGTCGTTATCTCCTACAGACAACACACGTAATCGCAGCTTGAAACTGCAGCTGTAACATCCGTTGCCTGTAGGTGGTGCATTCTATTTATACGTTTCACATTTAATTGTTTACATACGAATATAGATCATCGTCTTGTGTGTGGTGTTTCTGGTTGGTTTTGCATTTTACTCCAGATTTTTCCACCATGTTAATACAGGTTAGAACTTTAGTTTTTGTTTAAAGCAATCAGTATTTGAAGACAATAATATTTGGGCGAGTAAAAAACAAAAGAGGAATGATAAATGCTGAAACAGCTGTGTTACTGTGTTGTATTAATAACACACTGTGTCCTTGGACATCAGTTTCTCACGTGATGTCTGGTGAACAGTCGTCAGTTTCAGCTTTGGGAGTCATTCTCCATATGAACTCCATTGTCTCTGCAACGATCATTCATCCCTGTTCTCAATGTGGCAGCTACCTTAAGTCCACATGCTAAATTACCAAGAATGTTAATTTGAGAAAGACTTTCTTCTCCGTCTGATCTAATTCTGACATCCATGAGGGAACATGGACCTAGTTAGTCCATTTTTTTCCCTCGTCCTCTCTTCTTCAGTCGTTGAGGCTGATAGCAACTGGCGGCTCCTCCCTGCCAGACTTCTGTATTCAGGTTTGAGCTTAAGAAGCGGATGTGCAGGCGAGAAAAAACAGAACGAAGCCTGAACAGAACTCATTGAGACGTCCTTTCAGAAGTTCTTTCTTTGGAAGTCCTGTTCATTCAGGGAAGGGATTTCTTCGGCTTTCAGAGTCTCAGGCAGCTCCACTGCCAGTGGGGTTCAGTTCAGGTCAGCCTTGAGGGGTTGAAGACTCTCCAAGACCGCATAATATTTGGAAAGAAAATCTATCAGGATCACAAGCTCTGAGTAAGAAGACTCCGAGGAGATGGCTGGAGCTCCTGCCCATGCCAACGCACTGCTAAATATTTCCCAGCTCATTTTTTCCCTTTTATGTACACGCAAGAAAAGAAAGAAAAATGATATATTCAGGAGCTGCATGTATCGGCTAATGGCTCCGTCTGATATCCACTTCTCTGCCACACTTCCTGTGTTCACAGTACTGCCACGATTAATAATGTATGAAAAAGGCTGTTTAGCAGACAAACAACACCAACTCCATCAGTGACTTTATTAACAAATGTCACTCAATATACAGAGGAGATTTTTTTTTCTCTGCACTGAATGAGATGACATTTCATTATCTCGTCTGAATCATCGTTGTTATCAAATTATATGAGGACAGAAGATAAATCTGCTGGACTCAGCTCGCATTTAAGACGGAGGAATTTTCAACAGCATCAATTTAGAGCATTTAAACAAATGTCCGACACATTTTGGTCCTCTGTCCTTTACTAAACTCTCATTATCTCATAAAATTAACCCACTGTCCACACTGATGCAAATATTTTGCAAAACTTGAGCCTTTCATCCTCAATGGATTGTTGATTATAGACTTTATCGCGGTTTGTTTGAGCATTTGTAGTCGTTTTTGTGTGTTTGTCTGGACGTTGATCTGGAGATCAGCATCAGCAGTAGTGTAGAGGAGGCATACAACTACAAATCAACAATCTTCAAGCTGAGACTCACCAACGTTGGACATCTCAGGGACCCTGGCGTAGTACGGCCCATGTAGGAACTCTGGTGGATTATCGTTGATGTCCTGAACTTTCACTATGAACTCTGACGGAGGCTCCAGAGGCTTATTAGTGTCTCTTGCCACGGCCTGGGCTGTTAACGTGTACTGCGCCTGCTCCTCGCGGTCCAGGGTTTTCGTGGCATGGATGTTGCCCGTCTTGTCATCAATGACGAAGATCGTCCCCGCACCTTCACCGGAGAGGATATACTTGATGTTGCCATTGCCTGAGTCTACGTCTGAGTGGAGCTGAAGAGACAACAATACAAAAAGAAGGGATAATGCAATCGTAAGACATGTTCTGTTCTGCCAACATCTGAAATTCGAGTGAAAGAGTAAGAGTGACAGATGAGACATTTAGCCTTGTTGGCAAAGTAACACAAGGCTTCTGTTTCTCAACTCTGTGAATGCAAGAGGCTGAAATGCTTCGATAGACAGGCGAGTAGATGTGCGGGGGTGGAGACGGCCAAACGCTAATAAGTAAGAGATTTAAAACGTTGTCAAAACAAAAAATGGAAGGATGTTCAAAATTCAATTAAACACTCGGTTTTTCTTTACAACCCCGACACAAAGAAATATGATGCGTTTGTTGTTTATGGAAGCCGCTGCAGCATTTGAGTGATGTTGTTGTGGAGGAGTGCCACCAATCATCCTCACCCCCGAATGTGAACATGACCTCTCTCTTTCTCTCTCCGTGATAAACGAGAAACGCACATTTCAATCCTGTTTGGAGTTTGCTGTCACCCGCCGTGCCCCGGCCACGACTGTCACCGGAGGACAGTGCAGCTATCAATTTAAACGGCAACAGCAAAGTCCAGACCGTTGTTCGGGTGTTAATTCTGTTTCGACTGATGAGGAGTTGATGGAACGTCGCTTCATCAACTATATAATACTCACCCTGCCCACCAGAACTGGGTCAGGTCCAGTGTACTCCTCAATGACGAAGAACTGATTCCAGACCCATCCTCTTTTGGACCGATGGAGTACCTGCCCTTCCTTCCCCGTCCGCTGTCTGTGTCTGTGCAACGACAAGTGACCTACAAGCACACAAGTAAACAGTAGAACATTCCTTTAGCCCACAAATTTAATTTTTCCTAACTTCAAGTTTTTAAAATGTGAGAGGCAAATATAAAAGATTTGAATGAGTGCATTTCTTTCTTTCTCTCTGCAACTGCAGTTCCTTCTCTGAGAATATTTTTCAAAAAGGGTGAACTCCAGAGTGGGTGGGAGGCAGTAACCTCCTGAACAGAGAGGCCCACTTTTGAATTATGGATCAGTGGTTCAAATCCCAGCTGAGAAAATGTGGGTGGCTGCTGGGGAACGACACACACTTCTAACAAGTAGTTCTTTTAGGTGGGGAGGCACTTGACCTGTTCCAGCGCAGCTGCTCGGTGGCTAACAGGCTGCGGTCGCACTGAGGAGCAGCCGCGGTTGAACCTCTGCTAAACCTGGAGGCTGCTTTGATCGAAGAACAAATACTTACTAAGTCAAGGAAAGATACATGAAAATTGTAATTTGATAGAAAGCTAATGCATGAAGTCGAATTATCGGATTATCCAATCTGAGTTCATGTCTGTCTAGAGTCTAGATCAAAGTACCATTTCAGCTTCATCTTTGCAAATGGACATGACAATGAGCAATTAAGTTTTCTCAAGTTAACATTTTGTTCACAGCCTGGATGGAACATTCTTGTCCATAATTAGATCATCATGACAGAACAAAGTGACTTGTGGCTAAAAGGATCAATTTGAGAGAAAGGATCATTGTCAGTTTTAACGTACAGATACCATGAACAAGCAGTGGCGTTTTTCACATTACATGACTTATTAAGTCCATATGATGAGGAAACTTTGTTCCTTTTGTCAAACCTGGATTTCTGTGTCTGTGGCTCCTCTGATCCAAGGAAGCGTTTCCTTTCCGGGTTCCTAACGCAACACTGCAGAGCGCAGAAACTCCCACCAACACCAGGAGGGCTCTCAGCAGCCCGAGGCCCTGTCGCTTCATCGTCAGCGTCGGCTTCTTGTCCAACCTGAGCAACCGAGCGCTTCACTCTGACCCCTGCTCTCTGCGTCCTCTCAGTGGAGCTCCGCTCCCACTGAGGTGATGTCCTGTTTTAGCAAACAAAATGCTGTTGACGAATTTCTAGTTCATTAGCTGAGACGGGGCCTGTAGCTGTCGGTTCTCATCAGCAACTTTCACGTTGCTGCCTTTTGTCTCCTTGTTCTTCTCTCACAGTTTGTTCATTCCCTCTCTCCTCCAATCACAGAGCCTGAAAGAGAACAGAGGAGAATGTAGCTTGGTTAATTATTGTTAAAAACAATGAAAAATAAAGCTTTGAGAATCTGTGGCTTTATCAGAACCTTTGCCTGCAAACAAATTGAATGAGCAATGAGAAGTAAAAACACAAACAGTTTAGTAATCGTTCACTCCTGCCTGTTTAGACGGGGTAATGTTAATCGATTGCAGTCGCAGATCTGGCTTCTTAAATGGTTGTTGTCTTGATTAGGACATTGTACTAATTACTCAGACAATGCTGTCTGCAACCTCATTAGCTTTAATTCAATTAGACACAGACTGATTTAGTGTAGGAGCCGCAGCTCATGTACAACACAGGGTCGCACTTCTGCTCCATTTACAGCCTTTTCAAATGTAATGAAAACACTGGAAATGTGAGAATGTGTTAAACTCTGACGGCTTCAGACCCTCTTTACTTGGGATCTGTTTAAAAGGAGACTGATTAGAAAAGTGGTGATGATTCAAGCATCTCTGTCTCTGCAGTGACTGAATCAGCAGGAAAAAGACCACATTTGATCCGTACAAAAAAACCCAAAAAACTCAACTTGTCCGTCATCAGTCCTGAACTGTGAAGCAAGAAACTGCTTGCTCACTGCTCGGATCCCGAGATGAATGTCAATGAACTGCCCTCAGTGCAAGTTTAAAGGAAACGTCTTGGCGTACGAGCACGTAGCGAAATAAATGTGATGAGAGCAACGGAGGAATGAATCAGACGATGCCAAGATCCAGTGGAAAGCCGTGGTTCTCCAAAGGCCCCTGGTTCTTTGTTTTTCTATGATCTGGTACAGTCATGACTGCGGAATGATTACGTTTGAATGTGTTGGTGAAGAAGGGATGGGGCTGGACCCTGAAGACCTTGTATGCCCAACTATTAAAACTCAACCATGCTCATAAAATGTTAGGCAACGATATAACAGTGGCATAATTCCTCCAACTTCATTTCAACAAACTCTTTAGTGTTTTGCTCAAGAGATTGTTTCTCAGGAAAATGTTGCAATGCGCAGTAATAAGAAATAAGGGAAAAGGAAACCATCAAAATGTTTTAGTTGTAATAATTATATGGTTTAAAGTCAAGTCCATTAGGATGACGTGCATTAGTGTCCATGATCAGAATTTAAATATGCAAATTGTGAAACACTTGCACCTAATTGCTCTTAATGTGAGACAATGATTCAATTAATCGACCCACACTAACAACACATCTACAGTCAGATATATCATTGTGTCGTCCATTAGTTAGATACTGATGCATCATTTGCTCACAGCTGGATCTAATGTGAGTTTCCATCACGGCACTGGACATGGTTGACGGGGTATTTAGGACGCAGCTGCAAACCATCCACGTTATTGTCCACGTATATACATTTAGTGTCGGTGCAAGGAGACTTTATACAAAAATAATAATTGCACCAAAGCTGTTTTACTATCATTAAACATTGATAGTGAGCGATTGTGCGCACGTCCCCCACAACTGTGTTTTTGTATCTGGGTTTCTTTGCGTGGATCATACAGATGTTGTGTATGTGTGATTCATATTCAATAGCTCAGTAGATGAGATAATTCCCTCAGGGCTCATTGGCTCCCGTTGACCACATGACTAGCCAACCAGGAAGTGTTGACAGTTAATCCCATACCGGCTCATCATCTGGCTAATTATCCTTGAGTCCTCTGATAGGTGTGTGTGTGTGTGTGTGTGTGTGTGTGTGTGTGTGTGTGTGTGTGTGCGTGCACGCTTGTCCATCATTAACTTGTACGAACCTCAAAGCTATTTTATCCTCTCAGTTGCTAAACTAGGACTAAAATGAAATAACAAAAAGGAAAATACAAAATTTGTTCAAGAGACAAAAGGGATAAAAGTCTGAGCAGTGAATGTATAAACAGATAAAAGACAAAACAGCGACGCTATGTGAAGAGAATCATGATTTAATTGTCCATTTTGCTGTATCAGCCAAAAAGTAACTTTAAAATTAAATTTGTCAAAACTATTAAACTGTTTGTTGATTGGTTTATTTGTCAGCAGGATTACACCAAAAAGGATTTATTACAAAGCCATAAAATCAAAACTCATATCTATTCTTGGAAGTTGTCACTCGCAGGTGAAAATTGTGGAAGAGAACAGAGAATGTACTGAAAAAGAATTCCTGAGACGGTCAACACCGAAAACAATAATAAACCCTGGTGTGCACTTGTTGTGCAGAACCTATTAACAGCCTCTAAAACTGTCATTTATTCATCAAATTAAGTGTCAGGTTTATCAAGCAAAAATAAAACATGTCCAAAAATAAATAGCTTTCACTGACACCCTGTTATGCTATCGGTCATGTGTCATTTATCTGAAAACCTGTCAGATGTGTCGAGTCCAACTCAAAATAACACAAGAATAATCAAAATGACTGATAGCTGCAGAGTGACCGCTCTGAAACCCTCAGCCTGACCGTGAATATGAGGATGTGCGACTCGCTTGATGTTAATGAAATGACCCTGCTATCAAATTCAAATAACGCAATTTACGTTGTTCGTGCATTTCTTAAAGTGTGTTTGGAGTGTGAATCCTGCATCATCCTGCAAATAATTCTTCTCTCATATTCTTTTGTTTAAAAAAGAGAGAGAGAGAGGGGGAGAAAAGAAGGAGACAAAAAAAAAAAAAAAAAAATTCAAGACAGAAACAGAGTGATAATGACTCCCCAGGGTCAGCATGCCTTTTGGCCAGACCACTTCCTCTCTCTGAATGTGTGACTCAAGAGTCACATTAGACCAATGAACAGCAGAGTGTGTGTGTGTGTGTGTGTGTGTGTGTGTGTGTGTGTGTGTGTGTGTGTGTGTGTGTGTGTCGTTCCCCTGGGCTCGAAGCGTTGCTGTGAATCCATGACTCA